AGTAGCTTGAATTCTCCACTCTCTCCAGGAGTCAGGGACCCGGGCATGGACTTAACTGCCTGGAAGGTGCCAGAAGCTCTGGGCATACTCACTGCCAGGACAGGCTGTGCTGGATCCACTCCCTGCCCTCCCCTGCGCTGCCGTGCCCTGGAGGGCTGGCTCGTAGGACTACACATCCCAGGGCCCTGCACCTCCTAACTTTAGGGCCCACTAGCCCGAGAGAATGAGAAGACAGAGGTTAGCTTTTTACCTCCTTGCTCACTCCCTGCTGGCCTTATCAAAGAGCACAACTGCAGCCTGGAAACTTTTTGTTACTATTACACCTTTGTTCCTTCCCCTAAAAGAGGTACTCTGGAGTTCTAAGCCCCCGGACCGCTGTGCCCTTGGTAGGAGAAAGGACTTGATGGAGGTAAGTGAGGTTATAGGATGAGCCCTGACCCAGTACGACCTGTATCTGCATAAGAGATGCAGATGCAGTGAGAGACACACAGAGAGACAACAAGTGCAGACAGGGGAAAGCCGGCCACTGCAATAGTCTCCTCTCCGATCCCCAGAGGGAGCCAACCCCTTCGACACCCTGTCTTCAGATTCCTAGCATCCAAACTGATACAGAATACATGTCTACTGTTTCAGCCACTCAGTCTGTGGTACTTTCTCTTTTTTTGAGACAGGGTCTCACTATGCAGTTCAGGCTGGCCTTGAACTGACGGCGATCCTCCTGCCTCAGCCTCCTGAGTGCTGGGATTACAGGCGTGGGCCACCATGCCTGGCCTATGTGGTACTTTCTTATGTCAGCCCTAGAAAACTACCACAAGCTCTCCATGGGCTCTAGCATGGTCTCCCTCCCCTTGTCCCTTCAGATCTATGGGTGGTAAAACCTCCCACTGTTCATAGGTCCTGGAAGCCACAGCATCCTTGGTTGCTGTCCCTTCATCCTACCTCCATGTCCACCCCTTCAATTAATTGTTTTTTTGTTTTTTGTTTTTTGTTTTTTTTGAGACAGAGTCTTGTTCAACCTCTCCTTGAACTCACTTTTGAACTTGAAGCAATCCTCCTGCCTCAGCTTCCCAAATTCTGGGATTAGCCAGGCATGGTGGCGCATGCCTGTAATCCCAGCACTTGGAAGGCTGAGGCAGGAAGATTGTTGTGAGGTCGAGACCAGCCTGGGCTACAAAGTGAGCTCAAGATCAGCCTGAATTGCATGGTGAGACTCTGTCTCAAAGAGACAAAAAAAAAAAAAAAAAAAAAAAGGGATGGCTGAGATGAAATAAGGGGCAAAGGGCCAGGGATGTAGCTCAGTGGTGGAGCACTTGCCTGGCAAGTGCGAGGTCCTGAGTTCAAATCCCAGAACCGGACTCAACCAAACAAAAAGGGTCATTATTCCCCCACTTAAAATAAGGGGAAAAAACAATGGGGGCTGGGGAGGGGAGCAAGCTTCCAGGAACCTTTATGGAGAGCTTAGAAAACACACAGAGAACTGAAGCATGATGAGAGGATGGAGAAGACCAATTTAAAATAAAGAAGAAGAAATGGTTCATTCTGAGAAACCAGTCTACTGAATTTAACACCAAATTGCAAGAGCTTCTCAAGTGAGTTATTAAACAGATAATTACTAAGTTCTTAGGGACACAAGCAAGAGTCAGAATGGGGTGACTAAATCGTGGCAAGCTGAACACAAGCCTCCTCTCTCTAGCTCTCTCTCTCTCTTTTGTTGGCTCTGGGGTTTGAACCCAGGGCCTTTTGCACTGAGCTCCATCCCCAGCCCTTTTTACATTTTTGAGACAAAAATCTCACTAAATGCCAAGTTGCTCCGGCTGGGGGCTCACACTTACTTGTGTTTTGTTTTGTTCTTTTCCATCAGAGCCATCGGCATTCATCCGCGCTCTCAGATGTCCCTACCAACACAGGCTTCAGCATTAGCTCACTCTTACTTGTACTCCTCCTGCCTCAGCCTCCCAAGTACTGGGATTACAAGTGTGCACCACCACGGCTGGCTTATATTTCCTTTCTGATGGATCTGCAGTAACCATCTGGGCTTTAGCAATGCTCTCATACGGTTCCTCTCAGTGTTTCCGCTCCCATCCTGACGTTTCTCACACAGTGCAGATCATTTATTATTTTCTTAGACAGATACTGGAGCAGCCACTAAGCACCAGGCCCCGTGTAGGTAGGGAGGGTACATCAAACAACAGACCGAGAGAGGGGCCCTTGAGTGTACCTTCTGCAGGGGGCAGTTCTTTGCCAGTTCTGGGGCTTTTCCGAGCCACCTACAGGGCTCCTGAGCTGGCACCAGCCTCAGTCTTCACGTTCTGCCCCCGTTCCCCTTTGCTTCTCAAGTGTAAAGCCGAGACGGTGCTGCGGCCTTTCTTGGCCAACAAGTGCTGCCTCTTTTGCAACGTGCCCAGAAATGCTATCATTCAGGTTCCTGCAACAGATATTAATTATCTGAATTTCAAATTGGGCAAAGCTCCCTCTCCCAGCCTCACCTATCTCAGCCTCGTAGTCATTACCAGCCCCAGCGCCCACCCACAAGTCTCCACGGCGTGCCTTTTTGCTCAATTGATTTTCGCATTCCTCCTCCACCCATGGAAATCCTACACCTTTCCCAAGGCCCAGTTCAAAAACTGCCTCCTCCCTCCGGGTCCTGCCTGTGCAGTAGGTTCAGAGCGAGCCCCACGCCCGCCGACTGTACTATTACACTCTCGTCTTCCCTTCCCAGTTACCTGATTCCTCGCCTGCCTTCCTACTGGAGTCCCCATTCTTTCAGAGCCAGGGGCTTCAGAGCTTCCTCCCGTCCAGCTGCAGGGCAGGCACACACCACGCCACGGGGTTGCCGGCATCAACATCTGTATAAATGACAGCAGTCCTATGGCCTAGTGACCTTCCACCTCTCTGATGGTCACAGGGTAAAACCGCCTCACAATGTACTTCTCAGAACATATCTCTGCATTTCTTCCCCTGTACTGGGGATTAAACTTTGCAGTGAGGTATATCCCTGCTGTTTTTTTTTTTTTTTTTTTTTTTTTAAACAGAGTCTTGCTAAGTCACTATACTGTCCAGGCTGGGCTTCAACTTGTGATCCTCCTACCTCGGCCACCCAGAATACTAGGCTTACAAGAGAGTACCACCACGCCTGGCCTTTAAACTATGTGTGACCGCATTTTACAACAAGGTTAGCAAACTTAGGCCTGAACTAACAATGGTTGAAATGGCTGAAAAAAAAATATCCAAAGGACAGGAATATTTCATAACATGTGACAAGAACATGAAATTCAAATTCCAACGTTCAGAAATAAACATGGCCAGGAACACGGACAGCTCATATTTTCTATGACTGCTGTTGAGTGCCAGGGGCAGAGCTGAGAAGTTGAGCAGACCTTGGGGTCACAAAGGTTCCACGGTGAGGCTATGGCCCTCTTTGCAGACTCTGCTTCACAATAAAAGCTTGATGACTGAACCATTGGGTTGGGCAACCAAGATTCTGGGTACGTATCCTCTCCAGGTTTCAATGTCTTTACATTTGTTTGGGGTTTTTCTGTTTTTGTTTTTGTTTGTTTTTCTTCCAGTACTAGGAATCAAACTCACGACCTTGCACTTGGCAGGCAGGTGCTTTGCCGCTGAGCTAAATCCCCAGCCCCTAAATGTCTTTACGTAATAGAAGCCATAACTATCTTGCCTTTAAGTGTTCTAAACAGCAAATGAGATAATGCACTGAAAATATAAAACATCCTATAAACTTTACTATGTACTTAACAGATGATAAAGTGGTAGGAGAAAACATTAAACGTGTTTTTCTCCCTTTCTTCCTTTACAACATTTATTGATTGATTGATTGATTGTCTTTTTGAGACAGGGTCTCGCTGTGTAGTTCAGGTAGGCCGTGAGCTCACTTTGGAGCCCAGGCTGGTCTCGAACTCGCAATGATCCTCCTGCCTCAGCCTCCCGAGTGCTGGGATTACAGGCGTGTACCACCACGCTACAACTTTCATTTAAACTTTAAATTTTAAGAGAAAACTCACTTTTGAAGGTTTTTAATTTTAAACGATGACATGGTTACAGGTTCCTTCTTTGTGTGTGTATGTGTGTGTGTGTATGCCATTACCACTTCCTTTTCTTATACGGTTTTTTTTTTTTGCATATTCTTTAAATAGTGTCTCTTAAATGGCTCTCAACATCCCTGATTAATCCATTTTACAGGTTAGGAAACTGAGGCAGATTCCAAGGGACTCTCTGGCTCAGCACACAAGCAGCCCTCAGCGTCTTTTCCAAGGAAATACCTGCTGCCCGGAACAAGCCTCCCCAGGCCAGGCTTCCATGGTTGGATCTCGCACGCGAGCTCACAAGCACCTCCTGCCATCCTCCCTCACTCCGCGCGGCCCCCCTCCTGGGGAGCAGGTGGTAGGCTCCGCGCCCAACGCGCAGGCGCGCGGCGCCGTGAGGAGGCGTGGCGAGGCGGGGAACGGGGCGGGGCC